TAATTTATTATTGCAAATTAATTTTGTCCTATTAAATCTCACCTTTCTCACTTCATCATAGAAAAATTAAATTCAAAGTTTGCTTTACTAAAAGATTATTAACCATGTCTCTATATCTGCTTTTTGCAAAACTTTTTTTTATTAGGGATGTAATGTGAATGTTTTTCTCCTGATTTTTCATTATTTACTCACCTTTGTTGCTTGATGATTCAATTGTAAAAAGAGCGTTACCTTTTCCATTTCAGATAGATTTCTTTTGTTGACACTTGTTGCAACGAAATTACAATTTTATACTCAGATTATTACAGATCATTCAAGAAAAAAAAAAAAAAAAACTATCAAACTTCACTTTAAGATAAATCTAATAACAACATGAACAAATAGCTTCCTTTAAAAAGCTATGAGCAGCCTGGATGATTAAAAGAGTATTTTAGTTTTTGAAAGAATATCCTTATTGTGATTAATCAACTAGAGTCCAAGATTTTGAATTTGAATATTTGGTTTTGTTTGCTTTGATTCCACAAAATTTTATTGCTTTTTTTAAATTCAATAAACTTAAATGGTAGATATAAATTTGGAATATGATAAAAAAAACTTTAAAAAGTTGCATAGAATTAAGAGAGAATATAACCATATAATAATTGTTAATACATAAACACAAAGAAAAATTGTACAGTAGTTAAGGTATTTTAGTCTTTGAAATTCAGAAACTGTTTATGTTTTAAATTAAAAAAAATATTTCTTAGAAAAACATAAAAACTATGACTTTATTTTTCTTGTCATTTAAACAAGTATTCATTTTATATTAATTTCAAATCCTTAAAAAAAATTGCATAAGAAAAATATTTTAAATGTCAAAAAAAAAAAATAAAAAAAAAAAAATTTATGAAAGTTTTTCTTAAAAAAATGCTAATTATCTATATTACAATTTTTCAGTGGATGTTAGGATTTGTAAAAAAACCTAAATCCAAAATATTTTTAATGAACGAATAAAAATTATTTATGAAGTAATACACTTTTACCTTGAGATCTTTTTTTTTGTTTTTTAGATGAGTAAAGAGGTTCTTTAAGCACGTCTTTACTTAATAGACTAAACAAAAAGTAACAAACTATTCAAACATGCTCAAAATTGACCGGCAAGGGTAACTGGTTAAATAAGAACATAATTTGCATTACAAACTTTGAATGAAGCACATATGGCAAAAATTGATTGGTAAATAGCATTAAAGTTAGAATTTTAAACTACAATTGATTTCAAAGCATATACATATTAAAAACAATAGGAGGAAGAAGGAATTCTTTAATTATTTCTCTTTAGTATTATTTTACCATGAATGAAAAAGTAAACAAAATTTAGAAAACATTAAATAAAAGATGATTTTTTATTTATTTTTTGAAACCATCATTTAAAAAGTGATCATTAGCAATTGTTTATTTCACAAACTTGTCATGATTAATGCTTGTCATGGACCAATAAGAATAAAAGAAATGTGTTTACCAATCAGCATTTATACATTTGCATGAGAGCTATTAGCTTTTGTTCAGAAACTGTTTTAAAAATTGACTTTTTAAAATTTTCTTTACATTCTTAAATAAAAATAAAAACCCTGAACGTTTATTTAAAAACATCATGTGAATTGTTCTTAAAGAACATTTCTATCCTTTCATAAAGAGTTCTTTTTTAATCTGACTTTAAAATGATTTACCAATTTGCAGAAATTCACAAATTGGAATCATTCAGTTATTCTCATTTATGCATTCTAAGAATTTATTTTTAAAGAGGACTACTGAAAGATCTTTTGGGTCAGAAATGTAATTTCCTGTTTTAAATAATGCCTTCAATTCATGCAATATTTTAGAACATAAATATCTAATATCTCCAGCTACAAATGAATCAATAAAAATATCTGAAAACACTTAGTCCAAATAACAAATAACCAGTGAATATGAAATTGCTTAGAGTCAAGTGAAAGTTATCACAACTAGTTGCAAACAATTTATATTTAATGCATTATTAAAAATTGTCCTACAGCACTTATGGCAAGAGTAGATCCTTTAAAGTATTGAAAATAGATTAACATTTTGAAAGCACAATAAGTATGCAAACAAATTGGAAAGCAAGACTAGTTATTATGAATTTGAATACATCAATGGTTGTGATACATTTTATCTCTGAAGGATAAAACTTGCTAAATATTTCATGAAAAAATATCAAGGAATAAAAAAATATATCAACTGTTAGCAACAATGAAAAATTTGAAAATTCTATCTAATATTATTGTAAAAAAATATGCAGTAATCTGATTATAATCCATACATTTTAATGGTATTAAGATCATCTTTTAAATTGGTTACATGTTTCGTCCAAATATAAAGCTAAAATTTACTGTTAAGCATTCTATGTGAATATTTTTCGGAAGGTAAAAGATGCATTTTGTTGTGAACAAAGAAGTTTGGAAAAAATGTAATGTATTTTTACCCACATATTTGTGAGAATAAATAAAGCTATCAAGAATAATATTTGAAATTATTTGATATCTTGGACAGGATATTTTATGAATAATATAATTGAAGAAATTAATGAAGAACTGACTTTGTGGCAACTTCAATGAAATGTTTAGTTCATGAACTTGGATGGACTAAATACTTGACAAACACTTGACATTATTGCTTTACTTTAATGAGCTTTAGATAGAGTTTAAAATAAACTATATAAAAAGAAACAATAAAAACAATTTCATAAAACTCTTTCAATATAAAAATCCTTAAAAATTCTTGAGTAACTTAATTATTTTAAAATTTAATTTCTCATTCTTACAAATAAATCATGATTAAAAAATTAACAAATTCTAATTTTCCATTGACTTTAAAATCATTCCACTAAGTGTCACACACATTATGAATGGTATGTTAAGAAATAGTATTTTTGAAAATACTATCAATATGTAAACCTAAAGAATGCATTCCAGCAGGCAGGTTTATAAAAGGACTGTTTTATTAATAATACCACTATTCATCATTTTATCCATGGGAAATAAATTATGCATAGATATGAATGTGCCAAATAATTATATTTAATATTAGATCATTGTAGCTGGTAATCACCCAGAATATTAATATTAAACAATGGAATGTTTTAATTTTTCAAACTATAGCAAAGAAGTAAAATGAATATCACTTTGCATTTCATATAAAAATTGACAGCACCAATTGGAAAAGCATTGGCTTTTTAATATATTTGAGGTGTTGCTGACCCACTCTCTCTAAATTGACCAAACATCAGAATATATTTTAGAATTTCTTCCTGGTCATGCTGAGCACTTTTAAGCACCTACTAATAAAACCTAATAGTTTTGCAACAATGAAGAATTGTCCAGGCTATGAATTTATACTTTCAAAACTGTGGCTACAACCATTGTTACTAGCTACAATTCATTTATTGATAGAGCAGTCTATAAGACTATTTTTTCCCTTAGATCTTGCTTAAGCTGAAAACACTGTCATTGAAATTGACTAACTCAATTATTGGCAAATATTTGTCAGTTTTGGTCAAATATAACAAATTTCCCAATAATGGGGGAAAAAATCCTAACTGAAGTAAAAACTGACTTAAGATTCAGTTTTTTTTTTTTTTTGAAACATTACTTAAAGACACTTGCAGCTGTCTAGATTGTAATTAAAATTGTTAAATCTACAAAGTAATTCTCGACAGATCTAAATCAAAATCTAAATTCTACAAATATACCTTCCTAATAAACAGAATGAGTACTTTGTTAATATTCCCATGGAAAAATTCTCAAGTTATTTTATGTAAAGTTCAAATAATCATAACTAAATCAAATTCAAAATATTTTAAAAATATAAAAATAAAAAATAAAAATTCAAAATAAATTTTATCAAAATGTCATAAAATCTGAAAATTAAATATGTACAATTTTTGATATAAGAATTATTTTGTCTGATTTCAAGTTAAATGTTTTAGTCAGAATCTATAACAACTGATATAAATAAATATTTTTAACTTACCAATTATGGAATCAAAAAAAAAAAAAAAAAATCTGCTAACCAGTCTTTTAGCACCAACACAATCAAATGGTGGATAAAAATTACTTCACATTATTGATTAAAAATATAAAATTTCTTTCAGATATTGCTATTGTTTTGTAATCATGTTTTGAAAATTAAAAATAACAAAAATATCTGTAAAAATTGATAAAAGTTCCAGAGAAATTCTACAAAATTATCTTTTGAATTTCTCTTGTTCACAAGTGTATCTAGCCCTTCATTATCTGCAACTGTCAATATTTTGTAGATTCACATATAAGAGCATAAAAATATCCATACTAAGGGATCTTTTTACAGCAGTATAATGCTATAATGAAAATAGTATCCACCAAACAAATAAAGCCAAAAAAGACTATAACAGAATATGTAACTGCATATGTTATGCATAAAAATTAAGTATTAACTAAAGCACATATTTTAGGAATTTTTGAAAGAAAAAAATCAATTTTTTAAATTATAATAAAAAAAATGACTGCATCAATGGCCATTGTATGTTACCTTTAAATGACCAATAAATAATTTTAAGTTGTAGTAGAAAATTGTAGACTTTACTCAAGAGAGATTTGTTAGATATGATGAAAATTGTTCTATAAAATTTAAACATATAGAAGTAATATGACTATAGAAGCAGTTGCTATTCTCTCCAATCTCTTAAAATCATGTTTTGAGCAAAGGAGTTACAATGAAAATTATACAATTGCTTGAACCACAATTGATCAATGCTCTGCAGTAATAGAAGCAATAATAGTAGTAGTAGTAATAGAAGTGGTGGTGGTAGTGGTAGTAGTGGTGGTGGTGGTAGTAGTAGTAGTAGTAGTGGTGGTTGTAGTAGTAGTGGTGGTATTACAAGTAGTAGAACAAATGGCTGTTGGAGTGGTTGCAGTGTAGAAGTCTCGTGAAAGGTCTGGGGCATCAACCAAGGAGGAACAACAACATTAGCTGGGAAAGGAAATCCCAATCTCTTCAAGAATACCTTTTGGCTCTTCGGATTCCTGGTGAGGAATGGAGACAACGATTTGAATCAGAAGAAATATCTAAAACAATTACGGAATTTCTGTTAAATGAATTAATGAATGAATTTAGAATAATTACACACACAAAAAAAATATTAAGTGTATGTGTAAATAGTAATTTACACATAAAAATGTCTCAATATATTGCTGCCATCAAATGTATTATTTGAAGTGTACTTTTAAATGTAAGATTGTAGAAAATTAATTTAAGTTAATAAAATATTTAATTGGCAGAGAAAAAACGAAACTAATAATTTCATTTTTTTTTTAAATTTAACTTTTAAATACCAAAAATTAATTTTCAAGTTTTGTTTAAAATAAAAAAAAAAAAAGTTGGGAGTGGGTCATAAAATTCAGTTTTAGATGATAAAACTGTAGTTAGCTAAAAAAATCATTGTTAATAATAAAGATGATAAATATCAAAAGGTGAACATGCATGGTACATAAAAAGAAAACAGAAGAATAGAGAACTGTGCAAATATAACATTCAGGAAATAAAGTGCAAGAGGGAATTTTTTTTTTTAAACAGGTTCAATAATGATAATGAAAAAAAATGGACATTTCGACATTTTTAACTCAAAACAACTGAGAAAAGTAGATATATATATATATATATATATATATATATATATATATATATATATATATATACACTTTTTACAAATAAACAATTTTTAAGTCAAAGTAAGTAGTGATAATACTGACACTGACATTTTCAATAATGAGATCAAGGGAGTCTATTAATGTTCTCATCAAACAAAGGTTACTGAACATGATTTTATCTTTACACTATAATTTGACAATTTTATCACTTCCTATCATGTATTTTTTTCGGATATAATTGTTATTTTACAACTTAATTTAATTTTTTTCTTTTATATATTAATTTAATTTTATTAACTACAAGGAACCTGTTTAAAATAACTGACAAGACAAAAGCATCAAACCAAAAAAGAGAAAATATACATGCAAAACATAACAGCAAAACAAGAAAATTCAACATAAAAGGATCTATAAATAAAAGAGGCTATCATGCAATTTAATAAAAAAACATTTGTTCCCTCCATTCCTCAGTGTTATAACCACCAATCTAAATTATTGAATATCATTTGAAATCTAAGCTTTTCATCAAATACTGAAGTAACAAGAGAAAGGTAAAAGCATTGCCGGTTTTTAAACTCAAAAAACAGACAAACAAACAAGAATTTTTTTTATAAACTACCAAGCATACATAACCTGAGCATTTTGCAGTGAAAAGTTTGGAAACCACCGGGATGAACATGTTACAAATGAAGCAGCAGAATAAAATCAGGATAAAAATGTTTGTATAATTTATGCTAATAACTATCTTACAAGTTAATAGAATTTATCAAAAATTTAAATTAAAAAGAAGTATGGTACAACTTATGCACACACTCACACACAACTGCTCTTGATAACAACTATTTGAAAATGGCTTATATGGATGTTAGTTTAGTTATCATAAAACTGTTGAATAAATATTAGGTCAATGAGAACACATGAACATGTATAAAGATATAAGTAATATCTTACAAATTCATTTCATAAACAAGTGTCAATATACATTAATCTAATTTAAAAGTTTCTACATGTAAAATATGTACTGATAAAAATTAAAATCATGCTTAATTTATTAATGTAATGATGAAAACAAGAAATTAGTTTAGGAAAACATCTATAAGTTGCAATAAAATGTTTACAAATCTTAATACAAATAAAAGGTAATTTTTTACATGTACAACAATTAACATTTGCTTTTAAAATATGAGTTGACTTCTTTAAACAATTTGTTTCAAAGGGTTTGTAAAATTTTGATAATCTTTAAATAGTCTTAATTTTAACTGAATAATTTTTTTTATAGATTAATAGAAAGAAGTCTTGATGAAAAAAATAACTGATTTGTAAATATTATGAACACAGATTATTTTCCAGAAAATTAATGTATTTAAGTCATAAATAATAATGACTAGTATATATAGATAAAACATGTCTCCCAGGGAATTAGCAATGTGTTTTTATTTGGTAGTAGCAGCAGCAGTCTAAGCAGTAAAGAATGAAGCTTTAGAAAGAATTAATGTATTTAACTACTGCAATTGACAAACTATGATAATAATGTTCAGTATAAAAGCCTAGTTATAACAAATGCAATCAGGATAACAAAAAAAAACAACATTGGAGTCTAAAATATTCAGTATAAATGGAAATTTTTTTTATACTTAACTCTAAAAAAGTTTTTTTAAAATTACATTCTATGGTTGTATTTACTATTAGGATTTGCTCCACAAATTACTTGAAAAGTGCAATCTACCTTACAGATATATTAACATAGATGATCCCAAAACAAAAGTTGGAAGAAAATAAAAAGGAAATATTTTCTATTATAACTTATTTTTTTGTTCCAGTTCACATTGATTTTCTTGAACTCAATTCCACTTACATATCAGTAAAGTAACTCCTATTAAAGTAAAGAAAAAGTCATGAAAACACTGAGCCACAGCAGCTAAAAAAAAAAGCAAAGGCTAAAATATCAATAGCCAAAAAAGAAAAATATAATAAATAAAAACAAACTCACCACAAATCAAAATTAACAGGAAATTAAGATAAAGAAACAAACAACACTGATGACAAGCAAAATAATAAATGAGAACCAATTGTACCTTGAAGTGAACTCTGTGATATATAATAAATCTGTTGTGTTGGTGTATAGAACATGCAGTTAGATGGTTGAACTTTTTAGCTATAAATTAAGTTCATACTAAAAAAATAAAACAAAAAACATTTCTCTGATCTTCAGTTGATTACAATGACCACTTTGTATTATCAGAAGAAAAACAAAACAGTGCATTGAGAAGTGTCTCCATTCTAAGAGCAAGACAAAATGCATACATTTTATAGTGTTTCCACAATAACAGCAAACAACTATTGCTACTTTATTCGAATAAATATCAAATTCCATTTTTACCTTTTGCTTTTTTAAAAACAAACTTAGTGATTTCATAATTTGTTTTCAAATCACAGACCCAATTTTATTAGAATATTTAAACAATAGATAAACAAATACCACATACAATTTAACCCTGTTCAAATGTATATTTTTGTAGGGGGTGTGTGGGAATTTAGATTATAAGCAAAGAACAATAGAAAGATATATTTGTTTTAGAATTGCTATTTGTTAGTAGAGCAGAAAAGGGGGGAAATGACCAATTATTGAACAGAGAAAGAGATTATTGGTTTTTTTTTAGTATTGGTTTAAATAAATTGGGTGAAAGTACACATTTAGAGATGATGAAAGCCAGTTGTCTGCTGCTAGATGGAGACAATTGGCTAGAATCGACTCCAGAGGTAAAATATCCAACAAATTAAGGAAAGAGACTCCAACACTTCAGTATATGGTTTTATTTCTTGAAATAAGAAGTTACCAGCATATTGAAAAATTCTCAAAAAATAAAACTTGTCACAGTGTGTAGGTTAGAATATAAGCATAATCTGTATGTGTGTACATACAAAACAAACACTCACACACGCATACAATATAAAAAACAAAATACACAATTTATGACTATTGGAATGTTTTTTTGAGAGAGAAGAGTGAAACAAAATTTAATGAAGCAGACTGAAGTAGTACAAAATGTGAAACACATCAAAGTGAAATTGAATATAAAAATAAAGCAAAAAAAAACAAAAAACATTGAGCCTTATGCAAAAATCAGATTGTTAGTATAGTCAAAAGAAAACAATGTTTATGAAAGGTAGCAATTTTTTTTTTCTAAAAGTGTCATAACCATTTTAAAATGGTATAAAAATGGTTTGAAAGTTATCAACATTTATTAATAATTGTATTTTACAGTGTAAAAAATTACTTTCTCAGTTATACCAAAATCATTCTTATATAATAGCACAACTTGATATTATATTTAGTAGCTCCTTGAAATATATTTCTTCATTGATCAATTCTTGAATTTCTAAAATTGTGTTCTCTCACAAACATCCACATCTCTTTAAGCCCAAGTTCAAAATCTGAACACCACTCATTCACTTGCACTTTATTCATTCACTCACAATGTTAAATTTTGTAGATGATAATAGGATTGGCTTAAATCATATGTTTTAAAGATTCTAAAAATATGGCCAATAAATCATGGTCTTTCCAAAATCTAAAGTGAATGTGAGTATGTATTAAAGTGTGAACTCCATATATTCTGAGAAAAATTATAATATATTCAGAAAATAAGATCAAAATGAAAGATTAAAATCATACAGAATGAAAATAAATCTGAAATGTTCTTTAAATGTTGAGTTTTGTTTGTATGAAATTAATAAAAGCTTATTTGTACAGAGGAAATTAAATATTAATTTCAGAAAAATAACACAAAAGCTTCTAGAGAAAATCTTGGAGCAATGTCAGTTTTATATTTATAGTACATACCAAAATGAAAATATATTAGAGATTCTGCATTTAAGTTTATAAAAATGCAGCAATAAATATTTTAATGCAACAACTAAATGGCATTATGTACTAGTAGTAGTAATAGGTAAAAACAATTGAAAGTAATTTAAGTGAAAATGAAGCCATAAGAAATAAATGATGAAAGTCGCTTTAAGAGTGAAGCGTAATCTTACTAGAGCAAACTGAATAGGTAAAGATGATATACAAATGGAAGACAAATTCATTCTTTTTATTAGAGAAATGAAAATGAGGTAATTGGTGGCAAAAAATTAAATATTAAAGCTAAACAACAAAGAGGTAATGATGTTATTGAGCAACAGTTTGAGAGTTTAAAAAAATACTTAAGGAGGAATCATTATTTTTTTTTGCTTTATATAAATTTTAATCAATATTTTTTTTTTAAATAAGAAATCATCATTTGTCAATAACAGCCTATAATAAAAAATATTAACATCTAAAAAATGAATTCAAAAACTGGCAAAAAATAAAATAGAAAAAAGAAAAAAAAAAC